CAGGGACTGGAGACGTGTTTAAATCCACCCAAAGCCGATTCATAGAATCATAGAATAATAGAATCATAGAATCATAGAATGGTTTGGGTTGGGAGGGACCTTAAAGACCACCCAGTTCCAACCCCCCTGCCATGGGCAGGGACACCTTCCACTAGACCAGGTTGCTCCAAGCCTCATCCAGCCTGGCCTTGAACACTTCCAGGGATGGGGCATCCACAGCTTCTCTGGACAACCTGTCCCAGTGCCTCACCACCCTCTCCGGGAAGAATTTCTTCCTGACTGCCAATCTAAACCTCCCCACTTTCCATTTAAACCCGTTACCCCTTGATTCAACACCATACCCAAAATCCCACTGCTCCTGGATTCACCATCAGCACGGCATAGCCGCCATGGAACACAACGGGCTGAGACCGCCCTAGACACGGGTACACAGAACGCAGCTCAGGTAGTTTCCTTCTCGTGCTCGGCTGGTTCGCACCCTCCCTCCCACCCCGAGGACCGCGTTACCAGCTGCAGTCCAACCGGCCTTGCCCACAGCTAGAAAACAAAACCAAAGAAACCTCCAGCCACGAACCTGCGCTTTGACCAAACACCACCTTGCAAAAGCTCGCGAGCTTTCCCCCGAGCCCAGCTAAACCCCGAGCTCGGCTCACTCTCGTACGTCATCTTCGCAAGCTGCTCTGAAGAACTGGAGGCAGGTGCTTTCATCGGCGTTTTCCCTGCCGAACAGCCACCCAGGGAGGGCGAGAGTTGCAAACCACAGGGAAAGCGCCCAGCTACTTCCTCAATTTAACGCGTAGAGACCAGTGAAATTTTAAGTGAAGGAAGAGTAATTATAAGCTGGTCGTAACAGGGCACCTTTTTGATCAACAAGGAAGCCAAGTGTGAATGTGCTGCGCTTGCCCAGTGCAATGTTCGCTACTACTACAGTTTAAAGATGCGAATTAATATTTTTCACAAATAGGATGATATACTGTTTTAGCAAGGCTTGCGTTACCATTGCCTGAATTATGCCCATTACTTGGATTTTAAAATCTGTATCTTTAGTACATGCAGGAAAAAACCCCTCGAGGTAATAGCCATGTGTGTAACAGCCCTTTTTATCTAATAAAAAAAGCCAGCAAGCAGTTTTCAGAAGTTTTCTGAGCAGTGATTCCTGTTCAGTCTCCTGACTCACCAAAATAACCCCAAACCCACTGGTCGGTATTGGCAGGTGGGTGATTTCAGACAACCACGGCAATGCTCGCCGTGAGAGGGGGAGGTTGGACTGTCGGGGACGGGGGTGCTGAGCTAAGGCACTGCCCATCCATACCCCGACCTGAAGGGGACGGGCTAGGGACACAGCGAAGGTTTGGCACTGACATTTTCCAGTCCCATTAGCTGCGTTTCCCCTTCCTCGCTTTACTCTGTTCAGGAGCACAGACGCTGCTTCTTCAACACATCCTTCGGGTAACAGGAGTTGCAATCTCTCGCACACTTGCTATGTCTCCTGGCATGCAGTTTTCCCCTCTGTTATAGGAAGCAATCCTTGAATTTATAGGCATTCTATGCCTCTCCCATTAATTTTAGTGGAAGATACGGTGCCCAGCAGTTCCTTGAGAGGTTGGGGAAAGAAGGGGAAATCAGATATCGGTCTTCGGTTTCATTTGCTTATTTTTATTTCTCGGGAAGCGTCTTGGCTGCTTTCTGGAGCAGCTGGAAGTAGAGGTGACTCTTCTTCCCTCCAAAGAAGGAGCAGAAGCCAAGAAAAGATTTTTACATCTGTGCTTTCTTTGCAAAAGTCTACCTGGGCAAAGTTCAGCAACAACAGAAAAACCATTTTCTCAGCTACCTAGGGATTGGTCTCGCTTCTGTATGAACACTGCAACAAGAAATTAAACAAGAACCTAATATGCAAAAAAAAAAGATGTGGGGAGCTGGACCCATGCTCTGCCATCATAAATGTAAGGCGCAACTTTTAGGGTTCTTTTAGAATTCTAGGATTCTCTCAAGGCAAACCTGAAGTGATTCGAGATCAGATGCCTGAGTAATTCCTCTGGGACACTCATCTCTTCGAAGTCATGCTTCTTCTTCCTAGTCAGGCTTTCCTAGCAAACACATTGGCTCAGTATCTTTACAACCACAAAACTCCATCAGATGCCTCCAACATCTGATCTCCGACATTCAGGACAAGGGGCAACGGGCACAAACTAGAGTGCAGGAAGTTCCACCTGTACTTGAGGAAAAACTTCTTCGAGGGTGCCAGAGCACAGAACAGGCTGCCCAGAGAGGTGGCGGAGTCTCCTTCCCTGGAGATATTCAAAACCTGCCTGGCCGCATTCTTGTGTAATCTGCTCTAGGTGAACCTGCCGTGGATGGGGGGTTGGACTAGGTGATACCCAGGGGTCCCTTCCAACCCTGACCACTCCGATTCTGTGACATTGTATGACCCATCTTTACACACAGCCCAAGCCAGCTCTCCTTTCCTTTGAATATGTTTTAACTTGTATTATCATCAGTAGTGAACTGACTTGAAAAAAGCATGAAACTGATGACTTGGTTCAAACATTAATCTATCCTCCCTGCCAACTTCTTCAACAAACCTGTCTTTGTGTGCACTCATAATAGGAAAAACACGTTCTAGATCAGCGAATGTTGAAAAACGGCTTCAGAAAAAACACAAATGAAAACCACACCAACAAAACATGCTCTTGTATGCATCCTGTGAAACCACCCATTTCTTCTAGGCCAACAAACGTACAAAAGGTACTTATTACCTGTCTCTGTTTCCCAGCACAGATTATGGCACCCACGAGTCCTCAAAGCTGAAGTCCACGCACAGTCTACACGAGGAGCTGCTTATGAGAAAAGTGCTTTAAGCACTCAGACTACCCATACGCTTCTGCTGCAGGTGAAGCAGACCGTCCTCAAAAAACGAACCTTAAATATTTACAAAATGAATTTAGGGAACGCTGAATAAAAAACAGAGCCTTAAAAGAAAGATGGGGCTGGTTTGGTTTCAAATTGCACAATTGGACGATGACCTTTGCACCAAGGCAAATCTTATCTTTAAATCTCCTTACCTACCTCAGTTGGGACAGGGCTATTGGCAGCACTGGGCAGTTTGTTTTAATAAGAGAAAATACAATTTTCTTCTGGACCCTTTCTCACACCACTACTCCAGCCTCTGCAAATAATAAATCAGAAGAACGTGTGGAAAGGAGGTAGGGGGGAGGGAAGGAGAATCTACAGGTCATTAAGAGAGCTACTGGGTTAATAAGGTTTCACTGAAGTCTTTGATAAATGTAAACTGGGCCCTGGAAATAGATGACTGACAAGTAACTCCAAAATATTCCCTCCTAAATAGTGTATGAACTGTACGGGTTTTCTGTGTTCTTGATGGTGAAGCTGAGCTGAAACAGCTCTCTCGACATTCAACAGGATGACACGACTTCTTATCTATCTGGATAATAGATAAGAAGGAGGAAACTGAATGACTTTTCTATATTATACATATATACATATAAAGTTTTGCTTGTGTTTACAAAGATTTCCCTCACCCCCTCAAGAGGCTCTTGAAGTTTTTCACTCTACGTTTTCTGACACTGATGAATTAAGTGGAAGACTCTTCCATCACCACTCACGCCGTAGTTCCATTACATGTAAAAACCTTGATGGTCAAGCACAGTAAGCAGCACAACGCATCTCCTTCTTCAGTTTTAAACAGGTAGTTGCTTCTGTCGTGACTGCACTTACGTAAGTCGTCGCGTCCTTCGGCCGGGGAAGGAAGCAACTAACAGTACCCTTCGGTCTGACTTGCTCGAGTAATGCGCCCTACCCAAGACTGAAGGGGGGAAAAAAAGGCTTTGGGGGTGATGACTTCCACCATTATGGGAGCAAATTAAAGGAATATGAGACAGAACTGATTTCAGACTATCCTCGAGTATGTTTTCCAACATGAAAGCAAAGGATATCAAAGTAGCGGTGGTAAACTGTGATGTGATGTTTCCGAGACAAAAATGGATTAATTCAATTCTGCTCCGGTTTTAGACTATCCATCGGAAGACTGATAAGCTCTGTGGCTGCCCCA